GTGATCTCTTACAAAAGCAATAATTTTTAAAGTGGTCTTCTTCCATCTCTGTACTCCTTTGCCACAATTTGGAATGGTTTGGAAGGTTTGGCAAAAACTGATTGCTCATCAATTAAGCTTTGATACAATACAGCAAACTAAATATTTTTTTTCCCAATTAATTCATACTTACATATATTCAGATTTGGGACTAAGTAACACTATTTTTCCTAATGTCTTTACCTAGGCTTACCTAGTGTGCGCCATTGATTTAACAAGCGTAAATCTTCACTGTTATCTTACTTATAAACGGCACAAGGCAAAGATGTCGATTAGCAACGGAGAGCTTCAATAAATACCTACGACCTAGAAGACGTTGTAAGGCATTACACGTTTTTTAGGAAATCATGCTTTAATGTCTACACCTTCTTTCTATTTCTATTGTTTTTTATATTACCCCCAGGGTCATCCAGGGAATGGCCCTTACTCGCGTAACACGGTGACTGCCATAAAGAGGAAACGAAGTAGAGAGATGGTGGCGCGGCAGCTAATGGTTGGCTGTGCCCAATAGATAAGTAAATGTTATATCGCCTTTTATTGACTGAGCGCCCACCATAGTGACAAGCAACGAAAATTCTAGCCCAGTTGGGATTTGAACTGGCGATCACTGACTTGCTCGTTCGCGATTCTGAACTACTCGTCCACTCAGACGGATCGAGAAGACGACTAACATAAGCAAGTCCTAAGAAGAGACAATCTCGTGCATTTTTATCAAAAATAGTAAAACTTTTTGATAAGTATTCGCAATTCGACTCGGGGCGATTATGGTATATTCTTGTTAGTTTTTTCATGTTCTTTTTAACCGATTCTTAAAGACTTGTATCATTTTTGCTCAACTATTGTATGAAAACAGACAGCACATCTGTTAACTGCTTGCTACAACCATGTGTTTCAAGACCGTTTTTTATATACATTTCCTATGCTAAGATGCAAGCAAGCAAGCAAGCAGGCAAGCATGTTTGGAATACTTTTCGTTAGCCAGCAAAAAAAAATAAGAAAAAAAAACAAAATCGTAAAGTTTTGCGGTTTCCTCCGGTATTCTTTTTTTTTTTGTTCATTTTTCCTTTTTCTTTTTGATGCTTACTCTTGCTGACATAATCAATTGCATCGGCACAAAAAAAAAAAAAAAACTTTATAATGTACTTACTGGTGTTTGTCGGTATATTTCAACACCTGAATATGTTCTTCGCTTTATTTTAAGGGTAACAAGGACAAGCAATATGTAAACAAACAGCAAGTAACTAAAGAAATTTATTGTACACGAACAGTAATTTGAAGCAGTAAAACTTTGGGTTAACCTCAGAAGTGTCATAAAATTATTTATAGCCAAAGCAGAGAGCAAGTAATAGACTTCAATATATATTCTGCTGCAAACGAATTATAGATACTCCACCTTTATGAATGCATAATAGTACAGATTTTTAAATTCCGATTATGACTATCGTTGACGCAGAGATGAGAAGTGATTTTTGCACGAAACTTTTTTTTTTTTTTTTTTTTTTTTTTTTTTGCCAACAAATACGCAAACCATCTGTCATTAATTTATGGCTTAATTCTCAATTCAAAAAAAAAAGAAAAAAGGTTTACTTTTCAAAGACAAGAGACACATAATAAAACAAATACAAAAATGTGATTCTAACTAAAATCCTAGAAACTAAATTAAAAAAGGAAATCATTGCAAATTTGAAAAGAGAAAATGTGGAAAACCAATTACAGTTGAGAAAACTGCAACCGCAAAAGAAAATAAAACCATGAAAAAGAAAAAAAAAAAAAAAAAAAAAAACTAATTACAAAAATAGAAAACATTAAGAATCAAATAAATATTTATGCTCGTCATGTATTTGTGGAAATTTATGTATTTTAAGCGGTCTCTTGTTCTTACCTTTTAATGCTAATTAAACTTTTTCTTTATCACTTTGTTTAAGTTATGCATCACGTGTAAACTTTCTTAAGCCGTCTCTCGCAGTATTTCACGAGTAAAGTACAGACGTGCATACACTATAAGAAATGCATATATTCTGGTAATTTTGTTTTGAAGCAAATACCGTTGCTTCTTGTCGAAGAACAGTTTAGCCTTTGTTGGGCTGGCAAGATAAATCTATCGCCTATAGAAATATATAATATAAGCGTAGATAGGCAGACCGATACAGATCACCCAATGCTGTATTCCATTATAATGTCCGCTTAAATGATGGTTTTTTTTTCGCAATTTGAACGATACAGGGAACGGATTTCATCATCTCATCATCGGGCAAGCCAATGAAATATTATGAAGTTTGCATAGATCCATCGATGCTACCAAAGATGTCTTATCGAAGTGTGTCGTATGAAAAGTTTATACGATTCTGATGCACACAGGGTCGCTCCCAATTCCAAAATATTGTTTACAAACCAAGAAATTATTGCTGTCTGCTCATAGCGGTCTATACAACTATATCACTCACCAGTCGGACACCTATCTACCAAACTGCTGCTATTCCCTATCTTCTCTCTTCACTCTCTCTCTCTCTCTCTCTCTCTCAGGACTTGGTTTAGCCCATGACGGTGGTACACGCATGGGAGGCATTCACAGACCGAGGGATTACGTTAAAAAAAAGCAAACAAGAAACAAGTAAGAAAGTTATATTCGATTGGAATCGACTCTTTTATACCCATCACCGCTGTTCTATTTGTGTAGATAAATTTCATGCAAATTTACTTCGCAACAATTTTGGCTGCACAGAGGTATGGGCGTTGTAGGCGTGCTCCTCGGCCTGTTTAAATCACTTTCAAACTCTTTTCCAAACTCGTAGGCGATATACTCCGTTTTGGTGATCGGGAGGGAAGAGTTGGGCAAATGGACAAATGAGTAGACGGACATGCTTGGGCGCAATCCAAATTTGAAACTGGCCAAGAATTTTTATACCCGTAAGGGATTTTTGAACCAGTCGTTTTAAAGGCTTAAATCGATTCAAAATTCGATGCTGATGAAGAAGATATATATATATATATATATATATATATATACAGTTTTTGGGATCTCTAACGCTTCGTTTCAACAATTCATGCTTTAGTGCCGGGTTTAAGAATAATAATAATAAGAAAATAAAATCATGATAATAAACACAATTAAAAATATTTTGATATGCTTCGAAACCCTTCGTTTGCGATGCGTGTCAGACAGACAGGATTGCCGTACTTCTGCCCTTTTCTATTGGGAATAATAGCATGAAAGAAATGAAAATATGAAGAGCATTGATTAGATTATTCGCAATATCGTACGATATTAAGGGGCACTTATTTATGACGCGATATTCCAATTGCCATAAATTCTTCCTACGTTGTTAATGTTGTTGAAATCAATCAAAAAAACAAAAAAACAAAAAAAAAAAAAACGTCTAATAACAACACAGATTTTTACAAACCATTTTGCATTTGTTTGTTTTCTGTTTTAATAAATGTGTTTTCGAAAGTGACTCTGCTTCAAAGTATCGAAAATATGGGCTTAAAAAAAAATGTTGACAAATTTCTTTGATATATATTTCCTAACTAAGTAGAGTGACGCAGTTGTTAGTAACACAAGCATTCCTGAAAATGTTCAAAGACACCCTGTTCATCTGATATCTGTTATCCAAAGGTGAGTGTTACCTAAACCTTGTACAATTCCTTTCACGACCCGCATGTCATCGGCAAATTAGTTTGCTTAATATAGGAAAACTGACGCCCACTAGAATTCTCTAAATATTTTCAAAATTTAATCCGAGGTGATCTTAGCGCATCCATAGGTCACTTAGGACAAAAAAAAATATCTGAGTCGGAAGAGTGAATGCTTTGTTGGTAAAAATTGCGGCTAGAAAGTTACAATTCCATACAAATGTTCCCGACGAATCCCCTGAGAATGGCCTCAACAGGCCGAGAACCGGAAGGTAAGCAAATGAAGGGAAATCGTTTCTAAGCATATTCAAGTTATATGATTAAATAAAGCAACTTGGAAACTCGTCGATTGATTTTTCAATACATTTCATCATCATCATCATCATCATCATCATCATTATCATCATCATGATCTTATGTTGATCAATAATAGCCAATAGTGAACTGACTATTTGTATGCCTCCTATTTGGAACAGACTTGAAGAGTATCCAAAGTTCGGTTAAAGCTTCTTGTAATGACAAAAACATATATATATATATATCTTTCCCGTACTTAAGAGCATAAGAGCCAATTAAATCATCTATCGTTTCAAGTGCTTAAAAGTCGAACGGGGAATGGGGAAATTGAATGGAATTTTAAAGGTTTTTATATGCAATGAAATAATTTTTTAATAGACGAGTGCTATTAATGCTGAAAACGTTTACGTATTAATTAAAAATGAAAATATGAAAACAAGGCAGAACATTGAAAAGAGAAACAAAACTTAATTCTTAATTTACCTTAAACAACATAATGGCACTTGAGTATTTTCATATTTCATCTAAGAGTAGGAGAAAATGTTTTATGACTTTTCAAGATATTTATTTCGAATTTCGAATTTGTAAGATAAAGTAAAAGTAAAAATATTTGAGTACGATTGCAGTTAAGTAAGTTAAAGGGCCGTTTTAAAATTTGTTCGACTATTTCATGTATTGTAATGCATTTATAAAGTGAGACACTGTGTCGCAATAAATCCATTGTAATAACATGAACAACATGAATCTTTGCTCAAAATATGTTGTGTATGATTTTTTTTTTATTTTTATTTGTTTTTTACATTCACACGTATTAGTGCATGAATGCAATTTATTTATTGTATGAATAGCTAAGCATTCCCAAGTGCTTAAGTAAAACTTTATGGCAATGGAGTTACGATTATAAAATCATTATGGAAATGTGCAAAAAATCAATGAATGAATGAAAATGTTAAGAAGAGGAAAAAATTCCAGTAAATGATTTTTTTTTTCTTTTTACTTCAAGTGTTAATATAATCATTAATGAAGCTTACCTTGCAAGTTTGAAAAAATGCACCAATACTCGATTTTGTATACAACAAATCATTTGATGAAGTGCTGTTTGAAGTGGCATTATTACCAACACTAGCACTATTATTAGTGCTAGCATTATTACTATTACTACTGCTGCTGCTGCTGCTAGTAGCACAACTGCTAGTGATGCTGCTTGAATTATTATGTTTTAAATGCTTTTGCAGCGATGACGATAGAGGTGCATGAGGCGGGGAGGTTTTGATAGCCACAGTATCCATTATCGTTAAATGTTGTTATTGTAAAATTCGTTGTATCGTTTTGTATATGGCAAGAGAGGAAGGAATCTGCTATTATTTAAATTAATATTTGCTTATGCAGTAGCTTGTAATAACAACACGTTCTTACTGTTGATTCTCCTATGTATTTTATATACTATTCAAAAATCATTTATATGGTTCAGTTAACAGAGTTATGCTTATACATCAAACCATTAATATTTTATTGGTATTGTTTATGCTTTTGTTCAGTAACTCCGAAAAGGGTTTTAACAGGCAGTCAGTCAGTCAGCCATGCATAATGTTTTGTTTTTTTCTTGTTTTCCTTTAGGGGATGTTTTATTCACGTTAATCTTTCTTTCTAAGGATGACACCTTAAAACTATAGTTTTTGTGGCAATTTTCTTTGCGCCTACACAGTTAGTTTAACATAAATAATAAATGCACCTGTTAAAACAGAGAACAATGAATTTTAGGAAGGGCTTACCACTCCAAGCCTCTAGCGAGTTAGAAAGAAAGATGCATCCCTTGAAAACAACTTTTTAATCAACGTTTCTTTTTTTTGAAAAAATTTTTGTAAATTGTTTTATGCACACACACACACATAAGCGCGTTATTATTAAGAAAGGCTTGCGTTATTATTATGCTGCATATTTTGTTTAAATGCCAAACGTATATACGTATAGACGTTTATCTGTTTTGTGTTTTGAAGCTACCGTAAGCGCACATTTATCGGCAGCTGCGTTTTTTTGTCATTAGAGAAATGCTGAGTATCACAATTGTTGCTTTAACTTGCCTTGCAATCATTTCATACACATGACATACATTTTTTATGAAGAAGAATTAAATTTTCTCCATCTTGCTTGCTTTTGTTTTTAAAATATTTTGACAAAAAGTCTTTAAATTTTTGTGCATAAACTTTATTAATTAATATTTTATTTATTTATTTAGTAATTTTTTTAAATTCATTTTCCTTACGAACTTGTTATGTTTATTTCTTCTTGCCCATAAACATTTGCACAGAAATATTTAGTTTTAAAGACAAGACGTTTAGGTGAAACCGTTAATAAGACAAATTGAAAACTAAACGTCTAAACGAAATGATCGTAAGTTGAACAATAAGAAATATATTTTAATTAATTAATCGTATGTAAAAGTATTTATTGTGTATAGTCTTGTTCTCGGTAGTACATATATATATTTATATATATTATTTCGCATAAGCTCTCACAACGAAATATGTACACATCTTTATCAAAGAGTAAAAATGTATATATATGAACATTTACGTATATTACTTCGAGAAAGAGAAAAAAGCGACTGACTTGGCTGCCGAACTGACTGAAACTGACTGAGACTATACAAGCAACAACAACGGCAAAGACACGCAAGACATGTTAGCTCGTTTAGCTAGAGACGGGAAGCATATTTATTTTATCAAAATGTTTGCAACACTCCGAAAGAAGCTTCATAGACCTCACAAAGTGCTGAAGTGCAAAATTCTTACACTGTAAGTGCTCTGCACTCTTTTATATTAAGGGCTTTTTTGCAAAGCCAAAGAGATAGATAGTATTTCAGTGTTAAAGGTTCTAAAGGGTTATTAAGTCGAGACATGTTGAAGAGATAATGTGCAGCTATATGCTCATAGAAAATCCATAGATATTTTAAATACTTTTGCAACTTTAGTGAGTTTGTACGCGATTATCTTTATAGAACTTTTTTCATAATATTCATAATATGACAGTCAAATTTAAGTCTTCAATTTATAGAACGTAATCTCCGCAAGCAACGAAATTCTTTATTTTATCCTGGCCATAGCTTTTCCAAGTTCCATGGAACGATTTGAAGGATATTTTTTATATAAATGAAATAAAATTATACAAAAGTTTATAAATGAATTATTATGACTAACTTTAAACATTAAAAATTGAAAATATGCTGTTAAATATTAAGAGAATACTAAATTATGTACGTATATATTTATTTAATATATATTAGTTTTTAAGAAACGACGTTTATATTCGTTTTTTCATTTAAAATGTTGCCTTTTTGAGAGTAAAATTTGCTTTGCTGTTCTTATGGAAGGCACCGATCTCTGATTGTGAGTAAGAATGTCTCTCTGAGAGTAAAATTTGCTTTGCTGTGTGTTTTGATGAGAATATCTAGATTTATATTCGTATAATTAATGATGCTCTCTCTTTTTTGTTTTTCTCTCATTTTCAAACACACAACAACGAGTTAATGAGTAACACAAAAATTTTACAACACAATGCCAGCAATCGATGTAAAAATTTCCCTTCAGTAGTCTTTGTATCTGTTTTCTTAAGAAAGAACTAATTTAATGAAAAACAAAAAAAAATATTATTTGTGTTTTCTTGTTCTCTTAATCGCTTGGGTGTATTTATGAGATATTTTTTAAAAACCAAAGAAATTAAAATCTGTTGCCTATCTAAGGGAGCTGGAATTAAAAGAACACTTTTATTAACAGCTCATCAAATACGATAAAAAGAGAATGGTTTTCTTTCTGCATTACAGATATCAATAGCTACTTGTCATAACCATAATAGGAAGATATTACGATATAAATTGTACACACTAACGCAGTTTATATATTTGGTTTAGCAAACGAGTCTCTCTTGATCAGTCACGTCTACTTGCCTGTCCGTCTAGCAAAACTGTGATCATCATTTCAAAGTCTCGTGGATATTATGAACGATTTGCTCTCAATTGTAAAAAAAAAAAAACGTCAAAAAAAGTCATATGAATAAATGAAGCGAAATATTTCTTCAAATGTCTACTGCTCCTACAAGGTCCTACAATATCGTATAAATCATAAATAATAGATAGGCGCACTTTTGATTTGTCATATAATATTTCGAACCAATTAATTCTCTCCTGTTCACTTACGTATTTCCGTTCTTAGTTTGCTCATTGTGGCAAAAACTGGCAAAGAAATATGCAACTGACGCAACTGTAATAATGTGAATAAAACAGATTTTCAACGCAAAAGCCATTGTGCTATGTTCCAAGGTTACATAAGCGAATAGGCCAGCATTGGGTAAGAAATTGTAGCTTGTGGTATATCCGAGATATTGAATGATAACACGTTAGATCGCCAGTTGCGATCGTACGACCATTTTTTAGAATTAAGGAAATTTAATGCACTCACCGTAAAACACGAACCCGTTATTCATTGTATTCGGTTATTTCGATCTTAGGCGAACTGCCTATTCATTTCAAAAGAGCCGGATAGATTTCAATTAATTTATCGTATTTTGGAATAATTAAAATAACTAAAAGTATGCTATCAAAATGTCCATCTTTTATTTGAAAGACATAAGCCAAAGATTTATTTAAGAGAGTGTTTACAATTTCTTTGATAACTCTCAAAATGGATATATGGGATATAATAAGGTGAAGGAAATTTTTAAAAATGTAACCAATCCCAGAAAAAAAAGGCGAATCGCTCAACCAGTTTAGCCGTTAAAAAATTGAATTTAGCGTAAGTTCTAAGCAGTCATAGTATACCTGAAAAGGTTTGGCGCAAAACGATTAGAATGAAGTCTTGTAATCGAAATTTGAATAGCTTCTAAAAACTCAAATTGACTTAATGCCGAAAATGAAACGAATACATACACATAAGCATAATTATGCTTGCAAAACAATTACTGCATTAGAAAAGTAAAAATAATTTTATAAATGTGTGGAAAAACGTTCTAAATAATACATACTAGCTAAGGTAGTTTGTATTGCTACTTCTGGGGATATGTTTAGATGTGTGTGCGTGTGTGTGCTTGTATACATTTATATATATCTATATATATATATATTCGTGTTCACCATTATTATCATTTGAATTGCATACATGTACACATATATTTATATATAACGTGTACAGACGTTAAGTCAAATGTGCCAAAAAAAATAAAATGGCGGCCATTTTATGAGACTCATGCATAGGTTTCTTATCATTACTCGCTCTCTAAAAACGTATACAATGCCTTTTAAAATTTACTGAGGAATAAAAACACGTTTCTACATAAGCAGACTTATGTCTTATGAACAGAGCTGAAAGGCTGCACAATACGATACTCCGCTTCAGACGTATGTACGTATGACATCCAGTTACATGCCTTTGTATAAATATTAAGAATAGTCAGCAGAAAAGGGGCAACAATATGTTAACGTTTAGTAAGAATACTAAGAGAGTAAAGAAGTATTATTTCGCTTCGCTATGAAGATAAAGCTGTAGTTTGTTTGTTAACATTAACTAAACTTGAAGAACATGATTATAAAGAGATGACTTTTTGCTAAACTCTAAACTCAACAGAAATTAGGAAGAAGAAGAAGAAGAAGTGATGGAATAAACAATGCAAAATACAATCTTCAAATTGTCTATTGGGCGGTGAAGCGCTAAGGTTATACGACAGTACCGACAGCTCTTTGAGAAGAATCTATGATAATTGATTTCAAAATCGCAGTAACGTTGATGACGCGGTTTCTCCGCGTTTTATGTCTGTAGTTTTATGGATTTTTGTTTTCGTTTCTTCTTCTTCTTCTTCTTCTTCTTACCCACTTATTGCGCTTTATGTGTTTTAAGTCTTGTTTTCGTAATTTATTTGTTTATCTCGAGACACTGGCAATGCTTGCAAAAGTGAAACATATTTTTCCAAATATTTTTGTAAAATAAGTTTACAAAAATTATTTATTCAATCTTGAAAGAGCGAAAGAGCGTGTTTATACAAAGTAATACCCAGGTAATGTGGGTCCATCGTTACTAGCCTACCCGCATCGCATATATCGCATAATTATAGATTTATTTATAATTAAAATATAGACTTTAGTTTAAATAATATGAAATCTTTGGGGATGTGTGACAATCTTATATACACTTGATTTTATGAAGCCATATATGAACTGCAAAACTTATCTTAATGCGTAAGTTTCAACCAAAAATTAACTAAACACCGCTGAGAGTAATCCAAAGACAAATAATTCATGAACGATAACCGATAATGACGATGGCAAGTGGGCATGTTAGAGTAAGTATACCAGTACGACAAGATCATTCGTTTAATTTACTTTATTAATTAATAATAGTGATTACTAATCGTCATTATAATTAAGATTAATATATATATGTGTGTGTGTGTGTGTGTGCCAGTAACACTACAAAGCCTCTTAGGGGACGATTGTAAACTGTAGTAATATCGGATACAGATACTATAATTACATTGCACGGTATAGAAGCTAAGCATATAGTATAAGAAGCTAAGCAGACGTAATTGTCGACTATAGAAGACTTTTATAGCCAAGCCACTGCTTGGGCTTACATACAGTGAGTTAGGGAGTTCTACAACTTAACAGCATAAACAGCGTCAAAATAGTCTGGACGATGATGAAGATTTATGATCCTCTTAGGCAAATACTCTGGTGTTCGGCAGCGCATGGGTTTGCGAAGAAAGATTAGGTTTTTGACGTTAACGTACGTTTGAAGATCGGAATTTAAAATTTTAAGTAAAAACGAAAATAGTCTGTCGTATTTTCGTTTATTAAAGACATATCTGGCACACTTGAGAACAACACCCTACAATCTGTTACACGAAGCATAATCTGATTTGCCATACATCTTTGCACCACAAAATATGGGCGGCACCACCAAGCATTTATCTATCTCAATTCAGCAAAAGTGGAACCAAAAAAGAGAAGGAAATCGCAGTCTTCTCAAAATGCTATAAATAGGCCTTAGCGTAAAATTAAAACATGAGCTGGAGCGCTTAAACGAAAGTTAAGCTTGAACAGCGTGATTAGAGAGGATACTAGCGAACACAATTTCTTCGTGGCAAAAAATGAATATCATAAGCGATGGGTGAAATGAAA